TCATCAGGAGGCTTCTCATGGAGTGGGGGATGGGGGACTTCTCCTTAACTTTTCTTCTCTCTTTACTCTGTTCTTCCAGGGTTCCAAGTCTGTGGAAGACATAACCTTGCACCTGCCTGCCCACCCCACTCTCTGACCTTGCTAGTCTCTCAGGATCTGAGACGTTGACCTTCACCGCTCATCTCAGGGCTCCAAGGACTCCACTTTGTCTAGACCTGTCCAGCTGAAACTCAGGGCACTGTTACACCTGAGGGGCGTGAGGGGAGGGCAGTCAAGGCACAAGAACAGAGCCCTCTGGGGCCTCAGGCAGAGGTGTGAAACTGGAACCATCAGGGAACATGAGTGAATTTTGGCACAAACTGGGCTGCTGCGTGGTAGAGAAACCCCAGCCGGTGAGTCTCCCCAACCCCACCCCAACACACACAGAAATCAGTTACCATAGACTGTGACGAAGACACTTTGTATGGAATCTACCGTCTGAAAAGCCCACTTCTTGCCTCCTTCTCTGTCAGAATAGCTTCTAAGGCCAGGCTTGTGTGGGCATGGAATAAAGGGGCTGAATGATGGAAGGGGTGAACAGTCCCAGCTGTCACTTCCTTTTCCTGTCCATTTTGAGTTGGACAGGAGGTTGTAGGTGGAGCTTAATACCTGTCAGTTTGCCCCATTGTTTCCTCATCAGCCAGAGGTGACTTTGACATGCCCTTTCTCTGTCTACTGTGCAGGCCACTGCTCTTACCACCCTGCCTGTGTCCTCTACATCTGCGTTGTTCTAGCCCCGCCTTTCATACCCTAATGGTTTCCCTATTATAGTGCCATATCCCCTTTGCCCCCAGGCCCTTAGCTCTTCCCTTAGTGGTTTTTAAGACTCTTACCTTCCTCCACTGTGATGTAACTCCCTATCTTCTCCAAGCAGAAGAAGAAGAGGAGACGGATTGACCGGACCATGATTGGGGAACCAATGAATTTTGTCCACCTGACTCACATTGGCTCTGGGGAGATGGGGGCCGGAGATGGACTTGCCATGGTAACGAAGGAATGGGGAGAGGTTGAGATGGGATTGTGGCCTGGAACTGTGCCCCGTTTTGAAAGTTGAACCTGGAGGCATAACAGAATACTCGAAGGGAAGCACGAGGCTAGGATTCTAGTCCTGTTCGCAGGCTGCATAAATCTGAGATCTGGCATTTCAGGTCTCTGGTATAGTCGCCCTCATCTTTACAATTAGCAAATTGTTCTTCATTGGGATGGGGGATATATGTCATAATAGTTATTTAGAGGGCTTTTCCCCAAAATCATAACCCTTCCTTCTTTCTATTAATTAAGAACTGTCTCAAAAAAAAAAAAAAAGAACTACTGTCTCAGCGCCATAGTAAGTCATATTGAGGTTGGGAGTGTTGGGTCAGGGAAAGGGCTGAGCACCTCTGTCCTAAATACTGTTTAATATGCGTTTCTGCTCTCAGAATAACAGAGGACTTCCCTGGTGGTCCATTGGTTAAGACTCCAACACTTGCAATACAGGGAGCATGGGTTTAATCCTTGCTATCAGGGAACTAAGATCCCACATGCCATGCCGTGCCCCTCCTCCCCCAAAAAAAGAGGGGGTGGGCTTGGAGATATTGAAGGAATCTTTTCACCAATTATGAAATTGAGATAAATATGAGAGAGTCCTTTGTGAGAGAATCTTACTTGTAAAAGGCCTACTTTATCGCATCCTCATAAAGGTCGATGTGAAGGGAGGCATTGAAACTTCCCTTGGAGGAATGGAGGTTAGTTTTGACCTTTTCATATTTATTTTCTTGTCAAGGAGATGGGGTCAACCTCTTCCCTGGAGAGCACAGGGGAGAACTCCTGCTGTGCTATATTAAGGTTTTGGAGGGTCTCACGTGTGCTTTTTCACAGACAGGCGCAGTTCAGGAGCAGATGAGATCCAAGGGAAACCGAGACAGGCCATGGAGCAATTCTAGGGGCTTATAGCTCCCGACAGGAATGGTGAGTGATTAGAGCAACTGATCCAGCGCCTCTCGCCCCCTGCCTTGGAACCACAATCCTTTGCAGGAATGGGAAATGAAGGGAAGAAGAAAGAATTAGGATCCAGAAAGGCAGAGGGAAAGAAATAGAAAAAAAGAGCACGCTGTGGAAACCATTAAGAGTGTGAACCAGGTGGTGCACTCTCCCAAAGGTTATCTTCGAGGCTAATCTTCTTTTTTTCTCTTTAATCAGGATCTGCTATGTGTCCAGCCTCCACTCTGTCCAGCCCAGAAGAGATGCTGCCCCTACCAGTTCTCCTCCCAGAATCAGTGACCCAGGGCCCCTCTTTTCCCTGTCTGTCTCATAGTGCCTCAGAAGGCTTGGGGGCTGGACTCCCTTTCCTCCCTCTGGTTGTGGCCCCTCCTGGAGATGGGGTCAAGGCAGCAGGACTGACCAAGTGATGACTAATTGGCCAGAGGAGCTCAGCTGAAGCCTTGGACGCTCTCAGATCTGAGATAGGAGATTTCTGGGAACTTGGAATGAGTTCCTGTCTCCTGAATGATGGTCTAGGTGCCGTATGTTTTTAAACTCCTAACCTGGAATTCCTTACATGTGGTGGGTAGGTGAGATGACCTAAGCTGAAACCAGCTTTGCTGAGAAGCTCCCTACCTCCCTGCATTTGTCTTTCCTCCTGGAGTGAACTGAAGTGGATGTCAGGTCGGGTCTTAGGGGGTGACAACTGGCTAGTCTACTCCTTCTTTTTAGATCGTGGACTTTAAGCTCACAGTCCCTCACTATCTCTGCCAGTACCAGGTTCTTTCTCTCAGAAGGTCTCTAGCTCTATTTCTATAGCATCGCTGACTCCCTCAGATCTTTTCCTCTTTTTTTTTTTGATTAAAATTTTAATTTAAGTTGAGATCTCTTAGTTTCCCCATCTTGCTACTACCTCTGTCCTTAACCCCAACCTTGTCATGAGCCTTATTATTTCCCACTGGATAAGAGTTAAGGGGTGGGTCTTAACCTGGAGACATTCCTTTTTAGTCTTGGGGATCTGCCTTCTGCCAACCTCCCTGCTGGCCTAAGTGAGAGGAAGAAGAGGGATCTTGGAGAAGAACCCAGAAAGCTGCAAAACTAGGAGTTTATGTCTCAGGGTAGACTTATTGATCGCTGAGGATGGGAGGGGTGGTGAGATAAGTAGGTTGAAAATAGTCATCCTAAAATGAGCTTAAGATCCTCACAGCATGGGAGTTAGTAGACCTCTAGAGCAAGTTTTCTCAAAACTAGGCACTGTGACATCTTGGACTGGATAATTCTTGGTAGGGAGGGACTGCCTTGAGCATTGTAGGACATTTAGCAGCATCCCTGCCTGCCCTAGTTGTGACAACCAAAAATGTCCCCAGATGTGGCTAAATGTCTCCTAGAGGGCAACCTCCCTGCTGAGAACCACAGCTTGAGAGTCAAGATATTTTCCTCTTACCTGACTTCCACTTGTTCATCCTAAGCCTGAACCATGGATCAGTGAGGGTCTCTTGTAAAATAGGTTCGACAGGGCTGCACCTAATCCCCAAACTCTCCTCAGTGTGTTGCTTGTGCTTGCATGGGTTCACGTCTCTGTATGGACATGTGCTGCAGTGCTCTGTCCTTATTCTCTCCAGGGTAGGGGTTCCTGCATTGTGGGGGCCTGAACAGGGTGAAATGGGGTTGTGGAAGGGAGGAAGAGAAACAGTAGAGCTGCAGTCAGCCCAGCTTATCCTCCCCACATTTAAACTGTATTTCTGTGCCCTAGTCCTAGAACCAGACACAAATAAGACTCAGGGAGTTTTGTCTGACGACCAGCATCTCACTGCCCACCTGGCTGAGGAGTCTGCCTTAGGTGGGAAAATGTAGGAGCAGGGTCTTTAAGGCACTTTCAGTTTTCTCAGGTGTTTTGTTCTGGCCCCTTCCTTGCAGGGTATTTAGAAGGGCAGAACAGATAAGCTCCTGCCTGCTCAGAGATGAGAAGGCAGGGGTCTCGTTAGCTCAGTAACAGGAAGCATCCTGTTTGATGGGAGTGGGAGTCAGGAATGTAAGAACTAAGGTCCACTCTGCTGATTCCACCATCCATGTGGTTCGCCCCCACCTAGAGTAACTGAGGTTCTAATTTTTTCAAATTTCAGTGTATTTCCTGCAGTTTTTCAGTGTCTAAGCTTGGTCATAGGGATGCATTCCCAATGTACTCAGTTCCAGTTTTGCTAATTGCTCTGCAAGTAGCTCAATAGCCTGAGGGTTATACTAGATCTAAAGGGTGATCAGGATAGGGCAGGAAGATGGGGACCTCCTGGAATCTCTGGTCACCCTGATCTTGAGCCCTATTCTACTGCCTGTTCTTTACACACAATCTTCTTTTCTTTGGTGCTCTCTCTCCTTTAGCTACCTTCTCTAATGTGTATGCTACCATCATTTTAACAATATTGAGAGTGATGGGAATGGGTTTGAGAGTCATAATTTATATTAAAAATTGTTGGACTTTTAAATACATTTTCAAATAAAAAACAGTTGAAGCAAAATAGTTGCAGAGTAATCACTACAGGTATGTGTGGGTTAGAGGGTTGACATTGTTAATGAAGGCAACTCCGAGAAAGTGGCTGTTGTCGAGTTTTGGTCTGACCTTGCCTCTTCTGAGGAGAGAAGGCGAAGTGTTGCGAAGGCAAGGAGACCACTATCACCTTCCAAGGGCTCAACTCGTTCTTCCTGTTCCTTTTTTGGGGGCATTCATCTGAGATTTTTCAAGTCTTTAAAGAAGTACTTGTTTAAAAACAACTTTAGAAATGAGGAAGATGAGGACTTCCCTGGTGGTACAGTGGCTAAGACTCCGAGCTCCCAATGCGGAGGCCCCAGGTTCCATCTCTAGTCAGGAACCAGAGGCCCCTTGCCACAAGTAAGAGTTCACATGCTGCAACTAAAGATCCCAAGGCCTCAACTAAACCCGGCGCAGTCAAATAAAAATTTTAAAAATAGAGGACATGAATAGACATTAAAAAAATAGAAATGAGGAAGATGAGCAATATTAACATTTTTATCCTGGAGGAGAGGGGAAGAGACCAAAGTCATGCTGTTAGCTACACAGTTCAGTTTTAAGGTTCAAGAGATTTATGGTCTCTCCTTCAGGTACCTCTCTACAAAGATACATGACCAAACAGTTTTTTTCTAGTTTTGTTTTTCTGTACTAAAAATATATCCAGTGGGTACTGGGATTCAAGGGGGAGGAGAGGTTGAGATGCTGACACCTCCTCTTGTGGTTGAAGTGGCCGTTACCTCTGATTTCTCTTTATCTGGGTGAGGAAACAAAATAGAAGGGAAAATATTATAACCACATCCATATTCTTTTCCCTTCCTTGCCTCATTTCCCTCTTTCCACAAACCCTCATCCCCTCAACACTATTGCACACTATGCTTTATTATATTGAATAATGGTTTTGGACATAGAAGGAGAAAGACAAGGACAGAAACTGACAAAATGACCAAGTATACATTTTATTGTCTTTCCCCAAAGGACCTATTATCCTGAGACCTTGAGAATATTTTATCAGGTCAATCAGGAACTTTGGTAGCTCTTTTGGTAAAAGTAAAGGACTATCCTTCCTTGAGAGTTCTTAAGTTTCTGGGAATAATCCCAGAAGGACAATTCTTTGGGTTAGTAGTGGTTAAGAGCATTGGCACTAGTGTCAAACAAACCTAGTTTAAATCCTGCTGTGATTCTACTCCTTACTAGCTTTGAAAGCCCTGTTTCTCCATCTGTAAGGTGTGAGTAATAATATGATAGGGTTGTTGTGAGGATTGATCCAGGCAAAGTGCACAGAGGAAGACCTCAGATATTGGGGGCTGTTACTGTTAAACTGCATTAATAAACTGAAAACCATGAATATCTTCCACATGCATTAATCATCTCCACATCAAGAATTCTTTATATAAAATAAATGGAAAAAAAAATCTGAATTATGTTGAAAAAAAAAAAAGAATTTATATAGCTATCATCTTAACAATTTGGTCAGTAAACATCTAGTGACCAACAGTACATGTTGCCTAATAGCCAAACAGCAGTTGCTCAAGAAATGATATATGGAATCAATGGCTAACAATAATGTGAATAACCAATGCATATTATGAAACAATAACCAAACAAGTTAACAGTTCATGCGGACATGCTGGCTGGTTTAGCAACAGGTTTCTGTATATCAGGACTTTTCAGATTCATTAACAAAAATCCTGGCTCATCACTAAACACTTACTGGTTCCATCTCTGTGAACATTGTAGAGAGGTTGTTCCAAATATCCTCCAGCCCAATCCTGACCCGTTTCCAGAAAGCATAGGCTGGGTGGGGGCTGGGAATGGGACTGGGGATAAAGGGGGTGGGCCTGAGTCTGCTGGTTAGAGGGGGCAAGGGAGTGGTGGTGGTGGCGGCCCTGGTGGTGGCGGCCCTGGTGGTGGCGGCCCTGGTGGTGGCCTGAGTGGTGCAGCTGGTGTCAGCACAGAGACCTGCATCTAGGGGACACTCCTCCCGCTCGCGGTTGCAGGGGCATAGGTGGTAGGTGCAAGGCCGGTGCTCGGTGCGGAGTTGACTCAGCGCCCCAACTCGCAGGCGCCCCGAAAGGCCATGCAGTCTCCCGGCCCGGGTCCGGCTCATAGTGCCCGACTTGCAGTGGCAGTGCCACGGGCCCCAGGGCAACAGCACCAGCCGCAGATCCTCCGGCGCTGGCATGGCCGTGGGCGAGGGAGGCGGCCACCGGTTCAGGGTGGACCCTGCCGAGGACCACAGGTTCGCGGTACTCTCAGAGGGCTGTGAGTCCACATTAGCTTTCCAGGTGGAGTGAGGCAGGCTTGAACTCATCTTGATGTCGGAATCCTGGTCATTCGCTGTAAGGTCTGGGCTAGGCCTCCCAGACGTAAAGCGAGTCGTACCGTGAGTCTCCGACTCGGTGTCATTCTTTCTGGCGTAAATTACAACCCCTTCTTCCAAAGACCCATCCTCCTCCTGCGACAATCGTGCCCTGCTGCCTGTGGCCACCGTAGAGGCTAAGAGCTCCGCAGCGGCCGGGCCTGCCAGGCGGTCGGCAGCGGCCACGACGTCGTCCTCATCCTCCATTGTCACCCTCATTCTCGGGGATACAACGCCTGAAGTGGTCCGGGCGGTGGTTCTGTAGCTGCGGGTCACAGGGCCCCCGAAGCGGAAACTGTCCCGCGGCATCGCGGTCGAAGTCAGGCCTTCGGCCCCCGCCGCCCGGGGCCCCAGACTCAGCAGCAGGGCCCAGAGCAGCGCGCCGGCGGCGGGGACCATGGGGCTGGACGGTGTGGGGTTGGGAGGGAGCCAGTGAGGAAGGCTGGGGCTCCCACCTTTTCTCCCTCCCTTCAGCTCTCGACCCAGACCCACCGGGTCGTTAGAACCGAGGCCCGCGGGGGGAGGGGCGGGGGGTTCGCGCGCGCGCCGCGCCCCTCCCCCAAGCCCGCCCCCCCAAGGGGCGCCCTGGCAGGCCCCGGGACTCGGGTGAAAATCCCACGGAACATCTGCAGCGAGAACTCCGTGCCGGAACCGACCGACGGATTGTGTGTGATGCAGCGGTTGGGGAAAAAGTAGTTCACTTCCTGGGCGCAGTGCTTAATAAATCTCTGATTTATTAAGAGATAAAATTTACTACAGATCAGAATTTACTAAAGAGGACAAAGTACAGGTTTTGAAAGTGCCCCTGCTTGGGCTCACAGGCAGCAGACGTGACTACTGACGGGAAGAGGGAAATAGAGGCTCTTCAACGTTGAGGCTACTGGTTCCTGGCCCCCTGGAACAGGCCTGCCCTCCGCATCCGCCCGCCCCTCACCTCTACAGACTGCGGGAATACCCCAGGTGAAAAGGATCGCGGACTCGAAGAGATGAAGTGATTTGCCCAAGGTTCTACAGCTAAGGCAGCACAGCTTTCCACTTGCCTATTAAAAAATGCCACGACATGCAGCCCTCCAGCTGAAACGAAAGTTACCCAGCACATCAGGGCCCTGCTTTGAAGTCAGGTGCATGGAAGGAAAGACATCCCACGGAGATGTGAAGATCCAGTGGTACTGGGGTTGAAGATGAGATGATTTACAAAACAGCTCAGATGTGTCTGGGTTTAGAGTGTAGGCAGATCCATATCTTTGATTGGTTCTTAAGCCCATTTTTCCAGTCCTACGCTAGGTTCTTCCTGAGCCATGGAGATCGTGGTCCAGCCTAGGAGGAAAAGAGGGGAAAAAATCGGTACAAGAGCAGACCCGGTTTTTATTCAGGGATTTGGGGAGAGAAGCCAGGTGAATTGGAAGATGCTTGGGTCCTTTGTTCCCTAACAACCCTCCCCCACTGGATATTCTCTCCTATTCACTGCCAAAATCCTTTCTTAATTTCTAGAGCTGATCTGAATCTCCTTAAATTCTATGCTGTGATTACTCCTTTATTCCTTGATGCACTTATAGGGATAATTTTTTCATTTGTTCTTTTTACAGTAGTGTCCTTAATTTCTTCTCTGCATGTAAGGAATTTTCCCAGATACACAGAAGCAGCTGAAAGCAGAGCCTGTCTTTCAATTCCTTTGCATCTCCCTCAAGGCATTAAGAAAATGCAAACTGGCTTTTACATATCCCATCCCAGACTTTTATCCTTAAACCAGTACTCACTGTCTGACCACTTCTGGGATGTGGACCTGATCCATGGAGATGAGTTGGGCCAGCTCTCCAAGGCTGTTCAGAAAACGGATCTTTCGTGTGAACTTGGAACTGAAAAGAGAGGATCAACCAAGTGTCTTTTACACTAAGAAGAGGGCTCCTGGAGATCCTTACAAAGTGCAACATAACGAGTAGAGAGTGGTTAAAGCTAGAAGGAGTCACAGTGGAGCAAGAACGTCTTAATCTTGATTGTAAAAGTGGGGAGAGGGGCAGGGGGTCTTTGTCCCCCAAGCAAGTACCTGATGAAGGGCCGAAGCAATGCCAGGAATGCCTTCATGTACCAGGTAGCATGGACAACCACCAGAGCGCGCAGGTTTTTCCGGAGCCTGAAGAAGAACATGAGACCATCGTACTTTCCTTCCACCTTCATACCTGAAGATCAGGTGGAGCTACCTTCTGTAATTTATTTATTTTTTTTCCTTCTGTACTTTAATTTCCTTTGCTGCTTCTCTAATTCCTAGATTTCTCTTGACAGTTGGGTTGAATCCCCATTCCTTTAATTGCCATCTCAGCTCCATCCATCTTGCTTAACTTTCTCTTTTTCTAGGAAACTCTTCTCTCAGAATCCCTTAGCCTGGTCTTCTCAGCCCCCACTTCCTTCCCTTGCCCTATGCCCTATGCTCCCCATACTTCTTTTTGTATTGTCCTTCATCCCTCCATGGCCAGGTTAAGACCAGTGAGGAGAGAGAAAAAAGGAACCAGAAGAGAAAATTGGGCAAATGGAAGATGGAGGGAAGAAAGGAAAAAAAGAAAAACCAGGGGGAAAAAAGGCATATAAGGCAGGGGTTGTGGGTTGGATCCCTGGTAGGGGAACTAAAATCCCACATGCCTTGGAGTTAACTAGACCCATGCACTGCAACTACTGAACTTGTGTACCTAGACCAAAGAGCTTGTGCATGGCATCAAAAGATCCTGTGTGACACAGGAAGATCCTGCATGTCACAACTAAGACCCAACACAGTTAAATTAAAAAAGAAAAAGGCATAAGGGTCAAGGATGAAGGAAGACAAGAAAAGACAATGGACATATGGAAAATGAAATAATCAGCAACACCATGAGAAAAGGAAGGGCTGCCTGCCATGTGCCAGGCAAGGCACCATGTTGATTTATTTGATTTTCACAAATGCTTAGTGGCAAAGATATTATCATCATTTTACAGAGAAGGAAACTGAACCCCAGAAAGGTTAAATCACTTGCCCAAAGTCATACAGGTAGTAAATGATAAAGGTAAGATTTGAAACTAGATTTCCTTGACTCCAAGAGAGGACAGAAAACAGAAGAACTGTAGGGGGACAAAGAAAAGTGGAAGAGGGAGTTCCCTGGTGGCCCTAGTGGTTAGGATTCCAGGCTTTCACTGACTGCCTGGGGTTCAATCCTTGGTCAGGAAAATGAGATCCCAGGGCCAAAAAAAAAAAAAGTAGAAGAGACCGAATAGAAGAAAAAAATGGAAAGATGGAAGAGAAAATGATAAGATAGAGAGTTATAGCCCTCTTGTCCGAGAGGCTCACCGCCGATCCAGAGTGTGATAACACTGGCGTATCCAGCTCAGAGGTGGAACCTGGGCCCTACTTGTGCCTCCACTCAGGTGAACCAGCAGATAATTTTCAGCTACCAGCAGCTCCAGAGTTCCCACTATGTACCTGGAGAGATGAAATTGTCAGGGAAGGTATGCGTTTGGGGTTATGGGGAGTGAGAGGGACATTGCTGTAGACTTGACAGTCAGTTACTGATCAGAGAGGGGTGCTTTTTAACGTTTCCCTCCATAACATCCACTCTGGAGCCCTTTAAGCCTTCCACTTCACCTGAACAAGTGTTCCATGACATAGGTGTAGTTGGGGATACTGCTTCTGGGTAGGTAACAGGAAGCAAAGAGGATAACAGCATTGAGGCCATCACCATGGTAGCCTGGGGAGGAGAAGGGGAAAACTCACTCAACAAATAAGTACTGATGGACAGTATATCTGTTTAGGTTGAGCATCTCTGTGGGTCTCTGGAAGTTGAAGGAAGGATTCTGAACACAATAACTGAATTTCCAGCTTCAGCATTTTATTCAAGAAGTCACAGTTCTTACCCCTTCACTTATTATAGCCATTACCTCCATGAGATAGGACTTTCTTATAGGGCTCAATGACAGTCATGTCCACTCGCTGCTCCCGCTGTGCTGTTCGGAACACCCTCCAGCGATGACCATCTTCTCCGGCCACATCCCACATACAACCTCGGCCCAGCCTTTCAGCTGCCTCACTGGCCCCCAGGCCCTCTGCCCGAGGCAGCTCATCTAAAAAGAGGGAGGGGGAAGGATCGACAAGGCAGAATACTATCTTTAGCATCTTGAAACTTCCTTAGATTCTTAGCATTTATTACCCCGACAACTAATTCCTCATGTTCCCCCCATGACTCTAGCCCTGGTTTGTCCAATCAACCCAACTTTTTGCTGATTTCTCTTTCCTGTGACTTATCATCCTCACTTTGTCACTGGACAATGGCCTGGAGGTAACCTTGAACTATGGTAGCTTGATGGCCCCTGCCATTTTCCCAGATTCTTTCTTTCTTCTGATGCCTTTCCTTCCTTGGGTGAGCTCATTTATTGCTGTGTCTTCAGTTACTGCCAGTATGGTGATGACTCCTCTCTAACCCAAACTGCTTTCCTGACACCAGAGCCATATTCCTGAATGTCTGGAGTGGACATCTCTATTTTGTGTTTCTCTGTCATCTCCAAGTCACCAGACCCCAAGTGCAACTCACACTCATTCTCTTCCTCTTTGCCATATTCTTTCTTGATGAATGACCCCATCCATATAACTGCCTGGGAGAGAAAATTCTATGCCATCCAAGACTCTTACTTCTTTACCAGCCCTCAAGCCAGATCCTCCTCCATCTACTTCCATTAGATAATAAATTATTCTTTCTGCTCTTACTGTCCTGGTATAACTTCTTAGCATTTCTTATCTGGCCTTACTACTAGCCTTCTATCTCCCTACTCTTATCTGTTTTCTTCCATCCCACCCACCACTGCTAGAGCAAACATTTTTTCCTCCCCTCCCATTTTCACTCAAATAGCAATATTCTCGGAGAAGGCAATGGCACCCCACTCCAGTACTCTTGCCTGGAAAATCCCATGGATGGAGGAGCCTGGTAGGCTGCAGTCCGTGGGGTCGTGAAGAGTCGGACACACTGAGCAACTTCACTTTCACTTTTCACTTTCACGCATTGGAGAAGGAAATGGCAACCTACTCCAGGTTCTTGCCTGGAGAATCCCAGGGATGGGGGAGCCTGGTGGGCTGCTGTCTATGGGGCCGCACAGAGTCGGACACGACAGAAGCGACTTAGCAGCAGCAGCAGCAGTATTCTATATTCACTAAATTTTTGCATGATTTTTCCATAGCCATAGAAAGAACTAATTCATCTTAAAAAATAGTTGCATTCTATTCCATTGCATGGATACACAGTAAGAGAATTAACATCCTACTCACAGATCTTTAGGTTGTTTTCAATCTTTTAAAAGCCATTAAACCTGATCATGTTATTCCCTTGATTAAAACTCACTGCCAAAAAAAAAAAAAAAACTCATTGCCTACAGGATAAAATCTAAGCACCTTAGTGTGGCAGCAGGGACCTCCATAATTTGACCCTTGCCTATTTAATACAGTCTTTTGTCACTCTCTTCACTGCCCAGTCCTTCAGATCTGTAATATAATAATATATACTTT